GAAACTTGAACTTAGAAGTAGGTCAAAAAGCTAAGGCATTTGTGGCTGCAAAGCAGCAGGGTTTTAGCTCAGAGCTGTCTCGGGGAGCTATATGAGCCTCCTTCGTCTCAGCATCCCACTCCTTTTCTCAGACGACAGGCACAGGATGAGGATTTGGGAGGATGGAGGGGAGTAAAATGGAAACATAAAACTCTGTGAGGATATGTCAAACCCATCTCTTATCACTAGGGTAGATACAAGAACCCCTTTCTCTCCCCGCTGCTTTCAGGGACTCATTTGGCCTTTGCTTTGGCAGGTTCTGCTAGATCGAGTAGTTTGCCAAGTGCGAGCTCTGGTTGTTCTGCCCACCAAAGAACTGGCACAACAGGTATGTGGCTCTTCACCTTCTCTCTGAGCAGAACTGGACCAGGGGAAAAGCTGGTGCAGTCAGTACTTGGCTTGGGTGTTCTGTGAAGCAGGTTGAAGACCCTGTCAGCGGGTTTGATGTTAGTGTAAAGGAAGGTATTACTTTAAGTGATTTCATTGTGGCTAACAGAGCCCATCTCTTTGCAGGTGAGTAAAGTGTTCAACATTTACACTGACGGGACAGGTCTGAAGGTCGTTTTGATTACTGGCCAGAAATCTTTTGCAAAGGAGCAGGAGATGCTTGTCCAGAAAAAGTAGGTTAAAAGGTCTTTTGATAAGGTTTATAGAGATTGTAAACGATTTAATCTCAGTAAGCAGAGGTCAAAATATAGGTTATTGCATCACACCATCGTGCAATAATGATTTTGGATAGTGGGTTTATATGGTAAACACTGTTTTTTCTGTCTTTGTCAAAGTGCCTGCTACTACCCCTTTTTGTGATTGTTATGTTTTACTAGATTTTTGGGGTTCTTCACCAGCTGAATAGAATGTGAACATTTGCCTTATACCCAGAGGTACAAATGATTGTTCCAGGACTTTGCTGCAACTGAACTTTTTTTAAGAGCAGTGAAGAATGACATTTTTTGTTTAAAATGAGGGTTTAGTGTCCAACACTGCCTTTGCATGCTTTCAAAGTAAAGTGTATGTTTGAATTTTACTATTTCTCAGTTAAGTGAATAGTAGGAAAATCTTAAGGTCTGCTGACTGAGGATCTCTGTTACTGGCTTTACGGTGTAGGGAGAAACTTACTGATGGGCTGCTTGTTCTTTCAGAGTGACAGGCTACTGCAGCCTGGCTGATATTATTGTGGCTACACCAGGGCGGCTCACAGATCACATTAGCCAGACCCCGGGGTTCAGCCTGACACAGCTTCGCTTCCTGGTGAGTACTCCACAGGTCTCCCATCTTAGTGCAGGGTCCATTACAGCTGTAATTCCTGCTTTGTTCTTGCATGGTACATAAATATATCTCTGTGGGAACTGTTGTGTCAGCCTGGTCTATGCTCCAGATTGCTCAGGCAGTGGTCTCAAGACAAGGTGTTTTATTTCAACTTGTGACTCCCAAGCATCCACCCGCTTCCCCTTCTCTCTTAGCCTCTTGCAAACACAAACTCAGAGTAAAGCATTATTGGTCAAGGTCAGGGTAAATTATCGGACTTCCACCGCATGGGAGTCTGTGCAGAGACATAGTTGCAATCTTCTTTAGGATATGGAGATTTTTATCTCTTATTTGGAGACATGGATTGGATTTATGTGCAGATGAACAGGCGTAGTTTGAATGTCAGGCTGGCTACTGAGTCAATGAAATAAAAGCAAACTTCAGTTTTGGGGTAGAAACTTCTGCCTTCATTTGATAATGGTAACATTACAAATGGAAAACAAAAGCTGACTAATACTAGACAGTATTTAGCAGGTAGTGTTCTTCATCCTTGTGCATTCAGATTGTAGATGAAGCTGATCGTATGATCGATGACATGCACCAGAACTGTCTGAACCAAATCGTCAAAGCTGCATTCCAAGTAGAAAATGACTCTGGCTCCAACATGCTTTTTCAGAGGACCAAACCAGGGCCTGTAACAGCAGCCAGGTAAGTTGCCAAATGCATTTCTTTGAAGTGGTAGCACGGACACCAGCACATAGGTTCCACTGCCCTGCTTCGCAGTGCTCCCCTCACAGGCACTCCCAAAGCTTGCTTAGTCTGAGAAATCTCTGCCAAAGTAAGGCAGTGAACAGCTGATACTAGAGAATGTCTTTTGGACTGAAGCCTAAGAATTGTTTTCTCCAAACTTTCCTTAACTAGATTAAAGGAGCATCAAAAGAATGCACAAATATTGCAAGTCTGTGATTCATTTGCACAGTAACTACAGTAATGCCCTCTGGCAAGCTGAGTAATGGATTTGAAAGAAAGCTCTTGGAATTATCTATCTGCAGCTGCTGCTTTCATACAGCATGGTAGAGATGTGTCAGAAACTGAAATCAGCGACCAAGGAAGGAAGCAACTAGAATTAGGATGCAAGGATGTGTGTGGGGATAGCAGATGCACGGGTTGTGCAGTTGGTTGAGAGTGCTGATCTGTTCTGTCTGTGGGCTCCACCATAAAACAAGGGTGGAAACGAACCTACAGGCAGGTCCCTAAACAGGAAAAGAGCATCAGAGTGAGCTAATTGTTTCCCTCATAGCATCATCTAAAGGCACTTGTGGAGGAACTCCTTTGCCCCATCCTCAAAGCTCAGCTTCCATGTGCTATTTATTTCAGCTCCTGCTATCCTCAGATGCCATTACAGAAACTGTTGTTTTCAGCCACACTGACCCAGGACCCAGAGAAACTGCAGCAGCTGGACTTATTCCAGCCTCGCCTCTTCACATCTGTCTATTCTGAGAAAAAAACACTTGGAGATGGAACAGAGACTGAACAAGATACTAATAAGAAGTATACGCTCCCCGAGGGGCTATCGGTATAATGTTAATTCTCTTGAATAAGTTGAAGATTTGTTTAACTCTGGAGTACCTAGTTATGTTTTTACTCTATAAACAAATATGTCTTTCCTATGATTCCTTGCATCACAGAGGTGCTGGGAGAAAGTGGCTTTGGGAGTATTTATGATCCAGAGAGCTCTACCTTTCCCCATTTGTTTTCTCATTATTTAATGTTCATTTGGTTAAGAGTGGTTTTATTGTTGTGTTTTTTTTGTTTTTTTTTTTATAAAACTCTCTTAATGCAGAATTAAGTTTACAAGCAATGGGGAGTGGAGATATAAAGTAATAGTAATGTATTGGCACTTCCGTAGAACATGAATTTCAAGGCATGTAGATACAGGTCACCCTGTAGACAAGAAGGCAGTGCGCGTTGTTACTCGCCGTGGAGAAGTGAGAACAGTGGAACAACACAGATCTCCTGTCTCCACCTTGTATTGTATCCTCCCGGCCTGTGACTTCTTCTGAAGGGAGTAGTGTTGTGGGGTCTGGTTTTGCTGCTATTAGTCAGTCGCAAAACATCCAGCCTGTGTAGGTCATGGACAGGTAGCAAGTTTGAGAGAAGACAGCCTTGGCAAGAAGTAATTTTTCTCTCTGAACTTCTTCCCTGTCGCCTGCAGCAATGCTATGTGCCTTGTGACTTGAATTCCAAGCCTTTGCTCCTCTTGCATTTCATGCTGACAATGAAATTTACCCGCGTGTTGTGCTTTACCAACTCCAGGGAAGCTTCTCACAGGTGAATATATGAATGAGATCACTATCATAGGTATCTGTCAAGTAATGTTAGAGAGGTGATGAAGTGACTGTTTCTATCTCATTTACTTACAGATTGTTCCTGCTGGTTCAAGCCTTTGGTAGAGTTGCTGTGGCTGAATTTTCTTCTCGGTTACCTCCAAATGAGAGACAGAGAACCATGAAGGAATTTGAACAAGGAAAAATACAACTGTGAGCATCTCAGATGAGTTCCCTGCATATCTTCCAACATAGGCTATTTCCAGTGTGAAAAGCTAGGTAGAACCCAGAAGACATTTAAATGGGGTCCTGTCTAAAGCAGCATGCAGAAACCAACTTACAGAATGGGTGTGAGACCTGGGACGCATGACTTTGAATTGTTGCCCCTGCATGTGACTTGGCCTGTTGTGATCTAGCTGTAATCTGAGTTTCTGTGTTGTTTTATAACAAGCAGTAAATGTACCTGCTTGTTCATATAGCTGCCCAAAACACATTCAGTTGTAAAAATCTTAAGTTTTATGTCTGTGCTTCGGATCTGGCGCTTTTCGGAAGAAAATGGATGTTGGTGCTAGAATTCTATATAGTATTAGTTCTTCCTGCCAAAGAAACCCCTGGTCAGCCTGGCATACAGGTTTAGTTCTGTCCATGTGTTTTGATTTGCTTTGTGATTCTGGTAGCTATATGGGATTGCATCTGTGGAATGTCTCTGAGAGGAAGGTAAATACTTATTTACTCGATTTTATTTTTATTCAAACCCTGTGTTTAAATTCATTCTTGACTACTGGAATTTTGTGCCTCGCTCTCTGCGTTCAGTGCCTTTATGAAATGCTCAGATAGTTTACGGGTTTGTAACCTCCAATGTGGTGGGAGCCACCTGGCTTGGTGTCACATGCTTGGAGAACCTGGGAACACCCAGTAACTTTTCATGCACAGCAGGAGGCAACAAGGCTGTAGTGATGCTTGGAGGTCTGCGGGCAGCTAATAATGCCAGTGAAAATGAGGAGTGATTTATAATGCTGCTGTCATGCTCAGAGGTCAGAGTCTGCCTGCCCGACTCCAACAGAGATTAGCAAGAGTTCTGCTGTGTCTGCTTGTGTTTTGCTTGTGCATGTAGTGCAGGAGGTGTTACCTGAAAATGACTTTATGTACATTTAAAACCAGGTTAATCAGCACAGATGCCACTGCACGAGGGATTGACGTTAAAGGAGTGAATTATGTAATAAACTATGATGCACCTCAGTTCATCAGGACATATATTCACCGGTAAGAGAACCAGAAACAAAAGGAAGATGTTTGAGCTTGGTTTACTTTGAAATATTTAGCAAAGGTGGCATGCACTTGAAAGGGTTTTTAACTTCGGATTATTTTTTTTTACTTTAATATGCAAATAGCTTTCTAATCAAAATTAAGCGCATAGCATCCCCAGAGTAATGCAGTACTGAAACAGAGAACTAGCACCCTGTTACAGAAAGTGTATTTTATGGGAGCTAGAAATACTGTCCTGGACAGCATCGAGTACTGGGTTTCTAGACATTCAGAAAACTGCAGCAGCTTAGCAGCTGTGAATGAGCCCTGGAAGCGTTCACTGTTTGTAACATATGCCTACTCCTCCTGGGCTAACCTCAGAAACCTCAGAATCAGACTTACTTAAATCTGGAGAATTTCTGAACCAGACACTTGGAGCTGATAACGGCAGTGACTACATGGCTAAACTGACTTGACGCTACTTTTTCTGATTTCAGAGTTGGAAGAACGGCTCGTGCAGGAAAAATGGGTGTCGCTTTCAGTTTGGTCCTTAGAATTCAGGTATGTTGGTGTGGGATCATTTAGGGGCATAAGGAAGATAAGGTTCATACTACTTCCCACCTTTTCCAGTCAGCTGAGCTTTGTACTTGGAAGCTTCAATTATTTCCTGACTAGGCCTCACCTTCCAAAACATGCTCATTTTCTAGCAGATAGGCAGTGGGGTGTCTCATCTGCTGTGTCTGCTTCGTTATGCAGGAACGTAGGTTTCTGCGGATGTTGAAGGATGCTGGCATCCAAGACATAAAGAAGCACCCGGTGAAGGGCAACTCATTAAAGCCGTTGTTGCAGCAATATGAGGAAGCGCTGTGTAAGCTTGAGAAGACAGTCAAGGTAATTGAAACGGGGAAGAAAATTAAAAAATCAAACTGCAACTTGTACAGTTTATTGCAACTCATGACTAGCACAAGCATTTGTGTCCAGGATCCTTTTCCTTCAACTGAGACGTTTCCATTTCAGTGTGAAGGCAGCATTTGTGGGGGCATCATTATGAAATACTCAGAAAGGGTGGGGAGGGGAGAAAGAGCTTTTCTGTTAAAAGTAAGGTAGGCAGCATCCCTGGAGGTATTAAAAAGACGTGTAGATGTGGCGCTTAGGGACATGGTTTATTGGAGGATTTAGCTGTGTTAGGATTATGGTTGGACTTGATCTTAAGGGTCTTTTCCAACCTATATGATTCAATGATTTGTTGTGGTTGTTCCTTTTCTATTCTGCCTTTCTCTTCACCTCTGGAGCTGGAATTTTGGCAACTACCCAGAGGAAGGCAAACAAAGTGCAGGGATTAAACCTGTTGTCCTTACAGAGTTTTAAGACTGTAATTTATAGCCATGCTGACTAGAAATTGGGTGTTCCAAGCCAAGAAAGCATCTTCTGCAGGCCCTCCTTTATACACCAGTGGGAAGGTTGAGAGCTTTCAGACAAAGGCAGGGGTAGCATTTAACTTGCCAGATGGGTAGATTGGGGATCCATAATAGACTTTGTGCTGTATGATGTGGGCAAGTGTTCTGCTCTTTCATTTGAGGACTCCTGATAAACATGCGTCCTTGAAAAATGATGATTTTGAGTTGTAGACCGGGAATGTTTGAGAACGGGGGCAGAAAGGATTATTAAATTGTCCCATTGCTCCCCAGCATCCTTTCTGTGTGACTCTGAGACAGGGGCATCTTCAGTCACCTTCTTAACTTTAATTTTGAACAGAATGAGCGAGCACAGAAACGAGCCTGAATGAATGGAAGCTGAGAAGGTCGTGTTTTGTGACACTGAAGCTGCTGAGCGGGATAGGTCATGGACTATTACCCAGCACAGTGACAATGAGACATGGTCCCTGGATGGAGCTGCTCAACCTTAGCGTATCTGAAGTCAGCTATTAGAGGCCTCGTTCCCCTTTTGAGGACCCTGCAAAGAGAGTTCAGCTACGGTTTTTAAAGGAAAATAATAATTCTGAGATGCAAAGTCCTGCATTGTATCCTACTGGCATGTGTAAAACTATCACAGCTCTCGAGCATGGGCCTGCTGGAACTGCTGGTCTTTCGAGGTGAGGGCTGTGCCCTTCTCGCCTCCAAACTGGGACAGCTGATGGTTCTCTCTCACTGCACCGGCAGCTGTATCTGCAAACGCATAAACACCTATACAGTATACAGTGCCTCTAGCAGAATTGTGTTTGGAGAGCTGCTCTAGGCTGCAGTGACTGCAACTTTTAAATAAATACTATATATATTTTTAAAACTGTGTCTCATAAAGATTCCTGGGTACAGGGATGGAGATAGTGTTGAAGGGGTTTTTCACTTCTCTAGTCTTGTGCCTTTCTTGTCATTTTCTTGCCTATGTTGTTTACTTCCACCATTCAGTACCAGTGGTAACAGCAGGTATAAGTGTTAGGCTTAATGCAGAGTAAAATGTCTGATGTCTAATATGAATATACTGGAGTCAGCTAGCATCGCTGCAAGCCACAAATCTGTATTTGACACATGCCACTGGTATTTTTAGCTGCCCCTGGCAGAAGGCTTAGAGCTACTACTTCGGTGCAGCCTGCAACTGCCTTCCACGATCATCAGCGGGAAATGCACCAGCTCTGGCTTATTATTTAATGAAGCAAAATGAACGTACAGCAGCATTAGTGATACATTATTGCTGCAAAATGAAGGTCTGGGAATGTTGGAGGGGTGGGTGTCAGGGAAGGGTGGTTGGGCCTTGTAAAGATAGGAGCAACGTGGGGTTGTTCTGTAGCAATGAAGTAGCGTGTGCCCTCCTGCGTGACTGCTTTCTCTCCCTCGAGCAGTTTTTGCGTAGCGGGGGTGCCTGGGCTGGCATCAGAGTAGCAGAACAGGGAAGTTCTCTCACGAGAGAGCCGTGAACTCGCACGAGCGAGGCCAGGGTCTCTCTCTTGCGTATCTACGTCCCGCCAGCCCAGCTTTGGTTTTCCTGACCGTTAAGCAAGCGAGGGTGGTTTTTTAGATAAGCCCGATTTCGGACAGGAGGTGGCAGACCCTGGTTGGAACCTCGCCCTGAAGAACCGCCGCCCCCTCCTCTGGGGCGCCCGGCAGGGCTCTGCCTGCCCGGGGCGCCAG